GAGCCCACGGAAGGCTTGAGTGAGTCTTGCTGATCACTCCTTGTCTCCAGCTGATGAATCAGCTTACAGATGGGAATCAGGGAGTCTTGGTTGGTGCGATAATGCTGTCGGTGCACTGTTGTGGTGGCAATTGGCACCTGTTGGTCTTCAGCCTTCAGCAGTCCCACAACAGAAGGGTCTTCTGAGAGACCAGGCAAGGTGGAGAACTGTCTAATTTCCTCTGTCTCCAAGGTGTCTATGCCACAAGTCCACTGGGTGCCCTCTGGGGTAGTCTGTGCCAAGGATGCGCAGAGCTTCTGGGCCAGTCCCAATGGGGTGCTTCTGCCACTCATTCCCAGTTAGGCGCACTTTGGCTTCCAAGAGTTGGCTGTTGTGATCCCCCTGTCACTCCAGAAATGCAGATGGGTTCTGCCCCTTTATCACTTGATGGCATTAGGGTACACTCTGCACTGGTGCCCACTGGAGCCTGATGCTCCTGCAGGTCTGACGTGCCAGGCCATTGAATCCACATAGTCCAGTAAATCCTGTTGTCTCTTTCCTCCACCTGGCTGGAGGCAGGGCCTCTCTAGTCCTGGTCATAGTATTCATTACTCACTTCTTGTAAATACGAATCAGAAGTCCTTTTAGTAACATTAGAAGTAAGATCAGCCCTTCTACTGTCTGGGGTGCTGCCCACTGGAAACTGGAGCAGCAATTTTGAAAGAACCCCCTTGAGTGACTGCTTTTCCTTGCAGCTAATGTACCCATGCCTCTAGGGTAGAGGTATATTCTCCATCCCGCTTCCTCATGCTCTCTCCGTAGTCATACAAGTAAAAATAGAATGCCCCATGATGTGTACCCACTGTATCCTCTCTCTTGAGCAGAGGAACACTAACACCTAATAGCTGAGACACTGGTCCATACAGGTGGGTAGTAGGACATAATCCTCTTTGAGTTGCTGGAACTCACAGGACAGTTTCTCCACAGCTGAGATGCAGGCCTGTAGGGAGGAAGAGACTTCTTCGTATTGCTGGAATAGTCCAGCCAATTCATTCACCGTTTGTTCATCTTCCCAGGTCGTTACTGCCAGTGAGTTGGCATATGATGATGGTGTGCTCTGTATAAACTTCCACTGCGTGGGTCATGTGCATGTGACTTCATCTGAATCTTTGGATAACTGCCTGTTGTCTGGGTCACCATATCACCTGCAGTGTGGCTGCTTTCCTCAGGTACTGGATACCTCCCTCCATGGTGGTCCATTTGCCTGGGAGATATATAACATCACCTTTGAAGGAGTCTCCAGAGGCTGGAGGCTTTTGCCCCTTTTCTGATGTCCCCTTCCTTAGGGATATATCCCAGCTGCTTGGCTTCCCTACCATCTAGTTCGAGGCTGCTGGCCTGGTTATCCCAGCATTGGAACAGCCATGGGACAATGTGCTCACCTGGATGACAGCATAAGTCTTCTTGCATATCTTGCAGCTCATTTAGGGTTGGGGACTGGGAGGTTACTGCCTCATTGGAGTTCTGCTTCTTCCTCCTCCGGTTCTCATGGCCCTGCTTCGAAGACTTCCCTTATTAAATGAGCTGACTTACACATCCAGGATTTCTTCTTGTGTATAGGGGCAACTGATACTGACATGGGTTGGTTTCCTGGTTAAGCCACAGTGCCTGTTACCGGGGTTGGACTCGCTGCAGTGCCTGTTGTTTTGTAGTCAGATCCAGAGACCTCTTCCCCTTGAGGGGTATTTAATAGTGTTGAATAGGGCTCAGTAGGCATGGGCCAGGTCCGAGCATGTTGCAGTGATTTGCATCTCTGT